ACCCGATCCCTTCGACAGCTCGTGATCACACATGCTGGTGTGCTTCTTCCATGTGGGCTTTGTTGCTTCTGAGCTAGTTGGCTGCTTGTTTATCTTCAAGCCTTTAAGATCCCAGATGCTATATCTTTTGATAGCCAGGCACCATCAGCTTTCTTTCCACCTTTGCTTATGCACACCTTTGTCTTCAGTGATCGTATCGGGAAGGTGGGCACCCACTGATCTGATTTTAAGTTCTTTGATGTCTGATAACTGGTCCCTTCTGCACCTCGTGGTCAGACAGGCTGTAAGAAATTTGAACTTTAAATGGGAGGGCCATTAAAAAAAAAAGGGAGAGCCTTTAAAGTTTTTCAGAAGCCTCGGTGGCCTGCTGGTTAAGCATTGGGCTGCTAACTGTGAAGTCAGTAGGTCTAAACCAGCAGCAACCCTCAGAAGAAAGATGGGACTTTCTACTCACAAAAGAGTTGCAGTCTTTTGATGCCCCTAGGGGCAGTTCTACCCTGTCCTATAGGGTTACCATGAGTTGGAATCGGCTTGATGCTGGCGAATTTTTGAGTTAAAAGTTTTTCAGGACTAGACAAGTAAGTTGGTGAATTTTTACGATGGGATTATTTCTTTAATAACAAAATCAGATGTCTGCCTTACTGATTTAGGAAATTAAATTATGTGTTGTTTCATATATTTTATTTCCTTTTTTTTATTTCTTAAGGGACATTGAAGGAAATTGACCACAAAAATTTATTGAGCACAAGTTTTTAAATTTTAACTAAGGAGACTAACAATGAATAAGCAAATAAAACAAAATCATTACAATTGATAATAAATTAGGAATGAAGAATGACCAGAGTTGTACTAGGGATACCTGCTATCTTAGTTGCCTAAGGTTGCCTTAAACAAATACCAGAATGGTGGTTTTAAAGAAGAAAAATTCAGCATAGTTCTAGAAGCTGAAAGCCTAATTCAGGATTTAGCTGTGTTTATTTCTTCGTTGTCCACAGCCCCAGGTGTTCTTTGATGCCTTGGTGGTCTTCACTAGCACCCCCACCCCGTGTGTGTGTGTGTGTGTGTGTGTGTGTGTGTGTGTGTGATTTGTTTATAACTCATAAAAGTGGTTTTGAGCCTACCCTACGTAGGTATGATCCAGTTAATATAACAAAACCCTATTTTCAATTAGGATCTATAAGTATAGGGGTTTGGATTCTAACACGTTTTGGGAATGGGGGCACAGTTTAATCTTAAAACATTAACTAAGGACTTTAGATCTTTCTGCAAGAAAAAAAAAATGCTTCTCCTGGGGAAGAACTTGTTTGATTGTGTGAATATTTACTGAATATTTACTGCTTCTTTCACATTTCTTTTTTTAGGGATATCTCAGCTCAGGCCTTACATTGGGATGACCTTCTTAGGGGACTTTCATTCTTATTGATATATAATCTGATATATCAGTTAATAATACAGTATGCTCTGGGATTAACTATTGTACGTGCCTAAAATCTGGTGATTCCTAAGTATTATGTGGCTACTTCTTAACAATATATTATGCCCTTTCATATTTTTTTAATCGTTTTATTAGGGGTTCATACAACTCTTATCACAATCCATACATACATCAATTGTGT